TCACAGTTGACACCTTGTTCAGTATGCCCTTTAGCTAAGCAAACTAGGTTTCCTTTTCCTCAAAGTTCCACTAGATTCAATAATGTGTTTGATTTGATTCACGCTGATGTTTGGGGTCCATATAAGTATCCTATTTATGATGGAAATAGGTATTTTTCTTACTTTGGTAGATGATTGTAGTAGAATCGTGTGGATCTTTCTCCTTAAAATTAAAAGTGATGTATTCATTGTATTGAAAGACTTTCTTCAGCTAATACAAGGCAGTTTGGTGGTTATATCAAGATATTTCAAAGTGATAATGGTACAGAATTTTTAAATTCACATTGTAGTGAATTGTTTAGAACAACAGGTATTGTTCATCAAAGTTCTTGTGTTTATACACCCCAACAGAATGGGGTAGTGGAGAGGAGACACAGACAGATTCTGAAGGTTGCTAGGGCCATTAGATTCCAAGCTAATTTGCCTATCAAATTTTGGAGTCTATATGTGCAAAATGCTTATTCGATCAACAGAAGACCATCTACTGCATTATCAAGAAGATCTCCTTTTGCTGTGTTTTTTGGTACAGAACCTTCTTTACATCATCTTAGAGTTATAGGATGCTTATGCTTTGCTGTTAATCACCACACTAATGGTGATAAATTTGACACAAGTTCTATCAAGTTTGTGTTTATGGGTTATTCTACCACACAAAAGGGATACAAATTATATAACTTGTCTACCAAAACTTTTTTCATAAGTATAGATGTTATATTTAGAGAAGATTAATGTCCCTTTTAATATATTCAGAATGAGTTTTGTGACTTTTCTTCTTTTGAGAAATCTGATATGTTTGTTTATGATGATCCTCCTACTATCCCTTTGCATGAAGCATCTGTTATTTCTCCAGATTCAGCCTCTACAACACTTGATCCAGATTCTTCATCATCTACTCCCATCTCACAACCAATTTACACCTCTACTAATATTGATCTTAGAAGGTCCACTAGATCTTCTAAACCTCCTGGATGGCTCCATGGTTTTGTCCATACTGCTACACGCAATCCTGTACATTCTTCTACTTGTTCTACTGCTCATCCTTTATCCTCATACATGTCTTATGCCTCCATTTTTTCACCTTATTTTCAATCACTGTGCAATTTTTCTGCTATAAAAGAACCTACTTCTTATGATGAGGCTGTACAGAATTCAAATTGGCTTCAAGCTATGGCACTAGAATTAAAGGCATTACATGATAATCATACTTGGGATTTAGTAACATTGCCTCTTGGGAAGAAGGCTATTGGATGTAAGTGGGCTTACAAGGTCATGTTTAATGCTCAAGGTGAGGTAGAGAGGTATAAAGCTCCACTTGTAGCTAAAGGGTACACACAGCAAGAAGGTTTGGATTATCAAGAGACATTTTCTCCTGTTGTCAAAATGGTAACAGTAAGGGTTGTACTTTCTTTCGCTGCTATGCATGGCTGGTCTCTACATCAAATGGATGTCTTTAATGCTTTCTTACAGAGTGACTTAGTTGAGGAAGTGTACATGGTTCCTCTACCTGGTCTGCTACAACAGGGGGAGTCTACAGTCTGTAAACTAAAAAAATCACTATATGGTTTGAAGAAGGCTTCTCGACAATGGAATTTGAAGCTTAGTGAAGCACTTATTGGTTCTGGCTTCATTTAGAGTCACCATGATTATTCCTTGTTTACCAAGTGTTCTGGTTCTGATTTGGTTCTTATCTTAGTTTATGTGGATGATCTGTTGATAACTGGTTCTTCTTCTCAATTGATTCAAGCCACTAAACATATGTTGAAGACTCATTTCAAGATCAAGGAATTGGGGGAGATGAGATACTTCCTTGGTCTTGAAATAGCAAGGAATAAAGATGGTATTATGGTGAGTCAAAGGAAATTTGCCTTGGATCTTATCTCAGATTTTGGCCTTGCAGGCACCAAACCAGTTAGCACACCTTTGGAAGTTATCAAAGGTTCACTAGTCAAGATTTTGACATGAGTTGTGAAGCTCAGGATACACATGAAGATGTAATTCTTAGTGATCCAACGGGCTATCAGAAACTGGTTGGTAAGCCATTATACCTCACTATGACAAGGCCAGACATTAGTTATGCAGTGCAGAATCTCAGCCAATTCATGCATAAACCTAAGAAGTCACATATGGAGGGTGCATTAAGAGTAATAAGATACTTAAAAAATGCACCAGGTCTGGGAATTATGCTAACATCAAAGGTTTGTAAACAACTTTCAGTTTATTGTGATCCTGATTGGGCTACATGTCCTATGACAAGAAGATCTGTTAGTGGTTTTGTAGTGAAAGTTGGAGATTCATTAATCTCATGGAAGTCAAAGAAACAGAATACTGTATCAAGAAGTTTTGCTGAAGCAGAATATAGAAGCATGGCTAATGATGTATCAGAAGTTGTGTGGTTAATAGGCTTATACAAAGAGATGAAGATAGAGTTAGAACTACCAGTTAGATTGTTTTGTGATAGCAAAGCAGCACTCCAAATTGCTGCTAATCCTATCTATCACGAAAGAACTAAACATATAGAGATTGATTGCCACTTTGTTCGAGAAAAAATACAAGAAGGACTTATTCAGACAGATCATGTGCCTTCAAGAATGCAGCTAGCTGACATATTAACAAAGAGTTTAGGGAGGACTCAACATGATTTTCTATTATCCAAGTTAGGTGTATACAATTTGTTTGCACCATACAGCTTGAGGGGGAGTATTGAAGATAATAGTTAGTTATCAATTAGTTGAGTAATTAGTTGTTAGTTGAGTAATTAGTTGCTGCAGCTTAAAAGTTAGTTAGGAATATAAGTTAGTTATAACTGATTGTAGAATTAGTTAGAATCATGTACAAGTGATGTATATATGTGTGTGTAATGATCAGAAAGAGAACTTAATACAGAAGATTACATTTCACTATATTTTGTTAGTTTTCTCTTCTTCTCTGCACATTACTTTCTTCTCTGCACATAAACCTCCATTGAAGGAGTTAAGCAGCTAAGTACTTGTGCAGCAAAGTCACCATTGAAGGTGTTAACACAGTCTTTATTTTTAGATTTCAAATTTTGTTAGAGATAGTTAGGGGCATGTCTTAGTAACTCAACTCAATTAGAGATTTTCCGGACATGGTAGTAGATTCAGACTAGTTGAGTCTTTCCCCACTTTTAAATTTCCACTATTTTAACTTCCGCATAGTGCATGTTTTACTTAATTAGTTATTCTCAGTATGTTTGATATATGTCAAATACAAGGTTAACTTGAGATCACTCGTGATCCTAAGTCCCGTGTTACGTCTAGAAGATAGCCTCGTGGCATGACATTATCTATACATAATGTTACAATACAAAAATAATTGACCTGGACTGAGACAATTACCCTGGGCGTACCCATTTTAATAACTTGAGAAAGCAAACAATAATAAAAATAATCCATTTCATAGATACGAAACACTATTATAAAATATAAAAATAGAACATAATATAATTAATTTAAATAACCCCAAATCTAATTGTATTTCAAGGAGCATTTAAGGTTACATAAACTGGTTATATTACATGCAATTGTATTTCACCATCAGTATCTAATAGTGTCGTGGCGGATTTACCTTATAGTTAGGGGTTCATTCAAACTTTATTCGACGAAAAAATATATTAATTATACACGATTAGAATATTCTTTTAAATATACATAGTAAATGTTGAATCTCCTTCAGCTACTTCACATGGCTATTTTCAGACTGTGAATCTCCTTATTTAAAATGCTGACTCCATCACTTTATGGTGTACTACCGTCTACACTTCTTTTATTTAAAAATAATGTCAAGTAGCACTCCACATGAAAAAATAATTCATCCTAAAAATTTTCATTTCTTCAACTCTATAATAAATCAAACTTCGTCATATTAATTAAAACAAACCTATATATGTGTGTACTGAGTCATATAGTGAAAAGTTACGTTTGCAAATGTTTCTATTTAGTGAAAATGAAAATTTAGTTAATGTAATTCTTTTATTACTTATTTCGCTATTTATGAACCTTTTAAATAAATGAACAACTTTAACATATAACAAATATAAAAATCATATTTGTATGTTACAATAAATGTCTAAGAATCCTTACAGCAAATTGAAAATTTTATGTGAAAATAATATAACATAATTAAGTATTATAAGTTATTATAGATGTTAGATGATATTATAATGCTTTCATAAAGAAAATTAGGAAGGTTTCGCTATATTAGCGAGAATTAAAGTCGCAATTCTTCATGAAAGTCGTAACTTTTCATTTTTTATTCAGATATTTTAAAATCCAACAGTTTCAAACCATACATTTTTCGGTGAGAAATAACTGAGATAATCATATTTTATAACACAAATTTCTCATTCATTCTTGACATGATACATTTTCTCGATGAGAAAAAATTGAGATAATCAGATTTTATAACACAAATTCTCATTGATTCGCGGCAGTATAACATTTGTTTCTAGTAATAAGAATATCCCTTAATTTATAATTTTCTTCCATATCGATGATAATTGTTTTATTTTAAAAAATACTATTATTTTGTTTTAAAATGGTGAAGATGACTAGGTTTCGAAAAATCAATTAACCTTATTATTTAAGAAAAATCAACCTTCCAAATTACGGAGTCGCCACTTAATTTTTGATAAAATCAAGAAAATTTTTCAAAAGATTTAAAAATAGCTTAAAAATCGATTGAAAAGGTTCGAAGTTCAATGTATATCCCGAGAAGGTATTAGGCCCTCGGGATGCCCGCTAACTCGCGGTTGACCGGTGATTTGACTAGATGACTTTTAAAATAAAATTTTTAACTAATTAAAGAGAAAATTCCTTTTGATATTTTTTATTTCATTTTTTACTTCTCAAGGGAAATATTTAGAGGGAATTAATTTAAGAAAAACTATATGGTGATAAAAGTAAATAAAACAAAATAAGTAAATAAAATAGTAAAATTTAAAATAATGAAATATGGCTACCCTTTATAAGATTATAAAGATTCTACCAAAAATTAATTAACTCAAACAAACAATAAAGAAAGATGAAAATTATTTGAACTTGGGCTTGATTGCCCAAACTCATTCAATTGGGCTTTAGCTTACCTGTCCTAAATTCTAATAATTGGGCCCTCTTTAGCAATTTAAACATCCTGCAAAACAATGGCCTTTGGGCCTATTAAAAACTTTGCTGAAAAGGGCTCTGGCCCAATTTTCCTGGAAAAAAAAAAAGAAATAAGGAATATACACAAGATGTATACTACTGTATACGATGTATATTTAATCCATTTTTGGACTTTTTGAGCCCTTCATTTGTTTGAATACACATTTTCCGCTATTTCCCCTATATTTCCCATGTAGTTTCTGCGTATTTGTACCTGTATCATTTTTTAACCTGTTTAACAAATATATATCGCTGCCCAAAAATGTACACCACTGTATACGGGATGTACCCTACGCACGAATTCATTGCCTAATCCTGTCTTTTAATTAAAATCGGCGTCCCTGTACTTTAACCTTCAATTCACATTTTTTACACATATCTAAGGTATACCGTCTCTGTATATCAGTGTATACAGTCTGTATATCAGCCTCTTTTTCAACTTTCGAAAGTTCAAAAATACTTTTAAGCAGTGTATTTTCACCGACATCAACCCAGATTTTGAGTTCGAATTCCCTGTGCATTTTCGATCTGTATATCAGTGTATACACCGTATATAAAGCAAGTGCACAGCTTAAAAAAAAAAACTGCAGTCAAGTTTCTGCAAACTGTAATTTCCAGCAGCTCGTTTTTTTTCAACCTGTACGCCAGTCTTGAGGGGGGTCTACGACTCGAAGAAATATGTTTTGAGCCTTTACGGCTCAACAAGAAGGTGCAAGGAATTGGAGTGAGGTCCATGAAGACTCGAGAGTAATTTTACATGCAATAAAGCGAAATGAATTAGCACATGAAGTGATAAAATAACCAAACGAATCTTGAGCAAAAACAGAGAATAAAAAAAAATTACACCCATTTGAGGATTTGAATTAAGCTGGAACAACGATTTCAAAAGAAAAACTCGTATGAGCTAAGCAAGGAGCTTACAAAATCTCATAAAAGAAAAGCAAAACAACAAGAGCACACACGCTGAAATTCAAATTAACAATGGCGAACTAACGACGAACAAACACTATTCCAACCTCCTTAGCAAATACCAACTAAACAAAAATGAAGAACAACAAGAGCACACAAGCTGAAATTCAAATCGAAGGAAGAGCAGACTCTTAATCGAAGAGATTTTAAGCAACATGAAGATGGAAGATAATCCAAACAGAATACGCTGAAGGACAGGACAAACACGGAAAGTAAGAGTAGAGAAGAATGAGTTGTCGCATCTAATAGACAATAGATACAACACCATTCTATCTCCTCGTTAAACAGCTTCAGGATTCGACCATTATTCACGAAAGGAAACAACAATATACACATGAACATAACTTTGAATTCATAAAACTAAATCACATTCAATTTAGAACAAACTGCCCATATCTGGCCGTCAACAGTGAACCACAGTTAACAGAAGCTTCATATTATAAAAATTAAATGAGATATCCGCTAAATAAGTTAATGTCAAAAGGAGGTTACCTTTTTCGAGCAGCGAACCGAATCAGGCGAGCAGGGGAATGACAATCCTCACCACGCAGACGTCGATACAAAACAACAACCAAGAAAGCTCCAACAGGGTAGGAATCACGAACAAAGCTCGAACAATAAGCCGGAAATGCTATAACACTACCGGAACTAAACTTTCAGTCTTTGAAATGTATTTTTTTTTTAAAAAAAAACTAAGAAAAGCTTGAGTATTCTCTTCAAGAATCTTTTAAGAAAACAGAAAACCTTTCCTCCAAACAAATTTTTCCAACCCCCAAACAGTGAGGAAATGGCAATATATATAGCTACTGCTCAAAGGTGGAGAGCGGGGTGAAAACGAAAGAAGGTTTGGGGCAAATTCGTGATTCCATGTCCCCTTTTGAATTCGAAATCCTCTCTTCACCCAAAGGATGAGGACGCCAGCTAAACGAGTACGAACCTTCAACAGAACAAGCGATCGCAGCCATCGAATTTGCAAGCCGAGGACGATGGAGAAAGAAGATTTCTCCACCTGGGCCTGTCCTCCAATGTACATAGGAGGGGGGCGGCTGGAAAATAAAAGGGGAATTGGAAAAAGAAGTATGCCCAAATCTGGTCCTTAAATGAATTAAAGGGAAAATGGGTTAAAGTGGGCTGCTGAATAAAAACTTGGGCCTGGGAAATAAAATTAAAAAAAAAAGGTTGGAAAGGGAATTAGAGGGCATTTGCAAAAAGGCCCAAAATTGAATTGGAATTTTAAGAGAGGTTAATTTAATAAATAGCCATATTAAGTTAGGATAATAAAATTGGCTAAATCTTAAATAAAAAATGAATTTGTATTAATTAATCACGAACTTCTTTATTTTAGTAATTAATTATTTTAATTCAAAATATAACTATAATTTAAGCTAAATTAGTTAAATAGAATACTTACTAAAATTTAAAATATTTTGAGAAAAAATCGTAAAATATACCAACTACATACATAATCATGCAAAATATATAGGCTATCTAAAATTATAAGAAAAAAGACCAAAGTATTCAAAATAACGTAAAGTTCATATATTATTATTATTTTTTGCAAAATTTATAAAACTAATTATTTTAAATTGTTTGGAAATTTAAGAAGCTCGAAAACTAATTTATACCGGGGAGGATCGAAATTGGGTGTCAACAATAATATAAAATGCCATGACTAAAGGCTCGTCGCTATTTCCGTTTGGAGATCATGAAATGGTTTTTTTTCTTAATTTTTGATAAAATGAAAAAATAGTCAAAATTCACATTATGGGTTAGAAATAATCTAAATTTGTCATTTTTTCATCTATTGAACCTCAATTGTCCTTAACGTTAAGATTATAAGTCTGAATTCACATGGATAATGTTAAATTGTTTTAACTTTTAAACTTTAAAAAATATCACAGAAATTCGAATAAAGAAAGTTAATACACGCATCGAGAAGTAAAAATTCCTGTCAATTACATAATGAATTTTTCTTTTGTGTAACGATAATTGGATGTGATCGTGTAATTATCTTCTTCTTCTTTTTTTCCTATTTTTAAAAAAAATTAAATTTGTCTTTTATATTATCTTGATTTTCTAAAAAATATATTGATGTATAATATTATATGACAACGAAAACAATATAATTTATACAAATTTTATATTTATCAAAATAATAAGATATAACATACACTGTATTAACCAAACATAAATTGTTCTGCACCAAAGACAAACACTTTGATGAAACTTAGGCCTCATTCGTTTTCATTAAGATAAGAGGTCTGAATCTGAATACACATCTGAATATTAAGATGTGGTCTTCTGTAAATCTGAACACTAAATAATTAATGTTGTTTGTTAGCAAATAATAAATCATCGCTTCTTTGCTTTAAGCGTGCTTTTTTATCTCATAACTAAAAACTTTCTTTCTCTCTTTTCTCAATCAAACACCATTTTTTTTCTCTTGAACTGCTAAGTTTTATAAATCCTTTCAAAAAAATTTTATATTAATAATTTTCTTGTGTTGACTGTATCAAGAACACTGTTGGTGCATTGACGTTTATCAAGGTTTTTGAATGAAAAAAAAAGTACTTCCGAATCATGATTATTAAAAGTTTTAAAATTTTCTTTTAATCAAAAGTGATATATTTTGTTGAAATGAAATTTTTATGATATTTTATCAATTTGATGTTAGTTTCACATGCACATTCAAATGTTGAAAACAAACTAAATTAATTATTTAGTGTTCAGATTTAGAGACTACATCTTAATATTCAGATGTGCATTCAAATCAAAATACCTAGATCTTAATACAAATCTTAATATTCAAATTTGTATTCAGATTCAGACCTCTTAGTCTTAATGAAAACAAATGAAGCCAAATCTCCTGATTCATTCATACCTCTTTAGATCCATTAAGAGACTTTTTTTAAAAATAAAACAAATAACTTAATGGGCAAAATCTAAATGATTCAGATTTGGACCCAAAAAGCAAACGTACTTAATGGGTTGAATCTAAATGATTAAGATTCATAAATCCATTAAGTGCAAACAAATGAAACCTAAGTCTTAATAGAATCATAATAACACTTTAAAATAAGATTTAACTATTAAGATATTACCCAACAATATTAAAATTTCATAAAAATATTAAAGATCCAAAGAAACAAATCTAAGGAAATAAAATTAGAACTTTCATAGACTTCCTTATCAAAAGGTCCTCTCGAATTGCAAAACCAAACAAACACACATTGTGCTATAAACTATAGTACTACCGCAAATAAATATCTTATTTTACATCCAATTCAGAAGTTCTTCTATAAAAGCGTCGTCTGGAGAAATATGAGCTTCCATCCTTTCCGCCTCGGTTGGAAGCTGAGGGACGTACACATTGTCATCAGCCTTCCCTCCATCAACATTGTTCAACTGCTCCTACATTAATTGATATGATCATGAAGATTCTATCAAGTGACAAAATTAACTCATAAACGTATAAAAAAGTAATTATTTTTAAAAATTTGGCCAACTTACTTGAACATCTTGGATGAGTTCCTTATTAGATGATGCCTTACCTATTTTCACAAAAATATAGAAAAAAAGTAAATTATTTTTTAAAATTTTTTCATTCTAAATATAATATATATGTGAAAATTGAATTTAACGAATTACTAAATATAAAAGTGATGATTAAACAAACCAAAACTAAAATAAAATACATAAATCAAACTATATTCTTATACATTTTCTTCCTCCAGCCTCATTTGGATTGAGCTTAGCTCTATACCTCTGCAGAAAATCAATAACATACTTTAAGTATATATCATATTGAATTATTATTAGGGATATCAAATAGACAGATTGAAATATAATGAATGTACAAATTTAAATAGATTATATTATTAAATGTACAAAACATTAATTTATCTTCATCGATGATTGTAAATAAAAGAAATTATATAAAAAACCTGTAAGCGATTCTTAATTTGACAGTGAGATACTCCCAAATGTGCCATTTCCTTCCAAATATGTCTTGGCTTAACAACTGCAAACAAATTAAAAATTGTAAAAAGAATATATGTATACCACTAATTTAGAACAATTCAATAGATGATTTAGATCAAGTTTGATATATTAATTTAAAAAATAAGATCATGAAATAAACAAAAAAATTGTTTTTGTTGAATTAAAAAAAATTATGTGATTACTTGCCTTTAATTTCATCCAAATATTTTTTTAAAATAAAAAAGAGTGAAAGAAAAATAGATCTACATGTTAGTTACTAGAGACATGCAATCATCAGGCGTTGCGGTGAGATATAAATAAAAAAATTTTATTTATTATTAAGAATTTGAACTTGAACTTTAAGAATAAAATAAAAAATTACAGAGTAGGTTTTCTCATTAATAGATTTTTTGTGGTATAAATTTTAATTAAAAAAAGACAGACGAATACACGTGATTTATGTTTTATAAATAAATCAAAAAATTTGAGCATAAATAAATAAATAAATAATGTGAAGAGTAAAATTTATGCTAACCCCAAGGTCCGCCATATGCATTAATAACATCAAGAAACTTTCGATGCAACTCGTCAGTCCAAAGGACGCGAGGTGGTTTTATTCGCGAAGCCGACCCAACATTGTTAAGTTGCTGGCCAAGTTCTTGTTGAACTTGATGAGCTATATTGAAATTTATAACATTCGGATTAAGCATGAAAGGATCTTGATAACCAACAACATTATTATTAATTGTATTCTGTCCACCAAAAAGTCTCATAAGCCCATGATTTTCCAAAAATGAAAAATCGTTAGTTGGTTGATAGTTAAATTGTGATTGTTGCAGACTCATTAGTTCATCATAGCAATGTTGCATAGTGGGGATGTTTGGCGATTGAAAATTTCCAATGTTTACAGCCGGGGAGGGGGGAAGGGGGATCATTTTCACAAGAGGAAAAGAAAAGAAGGTAAAAAATACTAGCTTTGCAAATTGGGGTATTTTGGAGAAGTCTATCAACCTCCTTTTATAGGTAGATTTCAACTAAAGAAATTATCTTTAGATTCCCACAATCTTACACTAATTTGAAACTATAGAGTATGGTAAAAAAAAATAGATGAAGTATTTGGATTTAGCGTAACTGCTTACCATCATTAGTTTATGAGAAGATACGATTAATCCAATTTAAAATATCTTTTTATGATCCTATTATTATTATTATTATTATTATTATTATTATCTTTATCTGAAACACCTCATCAGTTTAATTAGGACAGTATAGGAAAAAAATGAGAGAAACATGGAGGGGTCCACGGGCCTTGTACAGGACTGCGACCTGCCACCACAATCGTAGTTCAAACTTAGCAAAATGTGGAGGACCATGGACCCCTTCATGGGTCGTGTAACTTCACACGAGCCGTTAAGTTGCCTGTCAAAGTTACCAGGAGCCACCAATTCCACTGTGAGGAACCACATAACACTAGATGGTCTGTGGAACCCCACAAGGGTTGTTAAGTGGACCATGGAAGTCACCCCATAATCATCCTAGTTCATGTGAGGAACCACAGTTGTCTCTATGGCCCATGGTGCTTCACACGGTCCATGAAGTGAACCGTGGGGGGAATATGTCAGCCTTCAAGTGTTGAGTCGACTTCAAACGGTCATATCTTTTATCACAAAATAAATCAGGTGACTCATGACCTACTAAATTAAAGATAATTTAGTCCTCTTTCCATGCCGTTGAGTTTGCTAAAATCCATGTTTAGATTAAAAAGTTACGCTCGTATCAGTAAAGCCTTGTTGGGAGGGCCACAAAGCATGACCCAATTAACGGGCAGTGGTTCAAATGACTGCCCGCCAACCCCACTTTGAATGAAACTTCATTGGTTTTAAGTCAGGATCGTTTGGTCTTTTCCCCTATACATTGGGCACTTAAGCTACGTCATTTGATGCCTAAACTACGTCGTTTTACTCAATCTAATCATAATAATCTAGTTAGAATCACCCCAAAACCCTCAACCTCCTAAAATCACCCAGCTTAGTGTAAAAAGAGGCGACCAACTCTCTCAAGAACAATCAAAAGTGTTTCTAGAATTCAGTTAATTCCTTTCACCTATTAGTTGTCTAGAATTCCGTTAGTTCTTTAGATTCTCATAAACTGTTCAAACCTAGGCTTCTAGATTTTCAAGATTTAT